CCCTCACCTTCTCCCCCCCCCCTCCCTCCCCCTCCTCTTCTACCTCCACCTGGCCTCCCGCACGCCCCCGCGCCCGCGCGCGCGCCAGTGTCCGACAAGCTGCCAGCAGGAAAATATCACACACACACACACACACACACACCGACCAGACCGCCCCTCGCTTTACTGTTAAATGCCCTCCCTCCCACACTCCTCTCTCCTAATATCATCGTGCTCCTGCCCTGCCATGCATCCCGCAGTGAAGACGAAGCCCTTTCGGGGTTGATGAAGAGGCAACGCGGAGGAAGGGTTTACGCTGGTCCTTCTCCTCCTCCTCCTCCTCATCCTCCTCCTCCTCCTCCTCCACCACATCATCATCATCATCATCATCATCATCATCATCATCAGCATCATCATCATCATCATCATCATCACCATCACCATCACCATCACCATCATCATCATCATCAGCATCATCAGCATTAGCATCATCAGCATCATCATCATCACCCGTTGGCATTGATCGGCCTGGGGTTAGCTGGAACCGAAGCGACTGATGCGGTGCATTGCACCGGCGAGGTCAAACGATCGCCGCGCCTGTGGCGTGCGCCTCCTCCTCCTCCTCTCTGCCTCTGTCCTCATGTTGGTCCAATACTCCTGACACGTATCCTCCTCCGTATAATAACCAGCATTATCATCTCATTCACCACCATCGTAAGCATCGCCATCATCACACAAACCACGATCATAGTCACCTTATCATCATCCTGAGCATCAACAGCAGATTGGTCGATATCGTCGTAGTCACAATCACCCGCAGCATCAACATCGCCATCAACATCGTACACGGCATCACCATCATCATCAACATAGTCAGCATCATAGTCATTCGCATCAGCATAGTCATCATCCTCATCAGCAGCACAATCATCATCAGCACCATCACCGTCATCTCCCATCAGCGTCATCCTCATCAACTCACCACGATCAAATCAACACCATCAACATCCTCATCAGCAAGCATCAACAGCAACGCCATCATCATCATCAGCATCAGCATCATCTGCAGCATCACCAGCAGCAGCAACATCGTCATCGTCGTCATCATCACCACCATCATCATCACCATCACCATCACCATCACCGTTATCACCATCATCATCGTCATCATCATCATCGTCATCAGCATCATCAGAACTTCTCTTCTCGTTCGTGTTCTTCCCCGCGGCCTCCTCACCTCTGCCGCTGCTTTTCCTCCACCTCCCTCTTCCCTCCTATCTCCGTCGCCCCTTGTTACTACCAACCAAGTGGGAGCCCCAAAGCCAATTCCACATTGGAAGAAACACACATCACGCCAATACCACTTACACCGCAGACCCCGCTTCGTGGTCGTGAACGGGCGCTAGGGCTTCGGAGAAAGTTAGAGTTGGGGAGGGCAAGCCAGGTGCGCTCGCGCCATGTCTGACATCCAAACCCGTCGGAGAGGAGAGAGAAGGAGACCTTTGCCTTCTCCTCCTCCTTTCCCTCCGCCTCTCCTTGTTTCCAGGTTTCCAGGTCAGCAATGCACCCGCAGTGCCACAGCGACGCGGAGCCTGAGAGAACAGAGGGCGGGACAGACGGGCTGTACACGCAAGCTCCCTGCTCAGCGGCGTGCTGCGCCCGAAGAACTTGGCGCTCGGGCGGTTCCCCTGCGAAGCAGGTCCAGCGGCTTCGGTGCATCCTTTTGTATGAGGGCTCTCGGGAAAAAGGATCGTGCAGCAGGTTCGGGCCGGGCGAACGGGGGGGATAGCAAGGGGGGGGTTTGAGAACCAGCTCACGTAGCTGATTTTCCAGGCGCCTCTCGGCGCTGGAGGCGGCTATGTATCGAGGAATGGGCCCCTCGGTGGGGCCGAAACCAGCTGCATGCAGCAGATTTCGTAACCCCCCCTTTCCCTATCCCCCCCTTTCGTCCGGCCCGACAGGTGCACGCGAGGGCGCACGAAGCGACAGCACCGTGGAAGCGCCAAGCAGTCGGCAGCGCAGACTCTGGACTTCCCTCCCCGCAGCCCCTGCGCCGGACGGGCCTGGCGACACACTCCTGCGCGGGCCCCGGTCCGCGTCCCCGCTCCGCGGCCTGTCCGGCCACGGGCACACGAAGCACCGCCCCTGGCTGCTACGGATCAGCACAGGCGAGCAGGGGATTTCGGACGAAGCCAGGACGAGGATAGATTCGTGTGAGGATAGATCGAGAATCTCTGAGAACCGGCGACGCTGGAGGATGTCTCGGGCGCTGCGGCCTTCGCAGAGGGTTCCGGACCGCTCTGAGAGCGTTCCGGAACGCTCTAGAGCAGATTTTATCCTCGTCCTGGCCTCGTCCGAGGATTGCGCGGCCATCGCTCCAGAGCCTGCAAGCACTCCAAGACGCTACGCGGCCATCGTGAACAGCGAGATTGCCCTTCTCGCCAGGTGCGGTACAGCAGAGGCACAGCACCCCTTGCCAGCCAGCCTCGCCAGTGGCTTGGAACCGAGCAGATTGACCCCTGGGCGGATTGGTAGGGCGGGCACTTTTAAGTCAAGGCGTCGCTGGTGTAGTGCTGTGTGTGTGGTGCCTGTCGTGTGGACCCAGACTGCGTAGGAAATCCCATGCCATACCACCACTGTTGCTGTCAACCGTGGTGTCCCCGCCCCCGTTTAGAAGTATGCCAATGATTCTATTCAGCGCTCGTCGTGTCCAACAGTCCGTCGGACGCTTGAATACATCGATAGCCGAGCACTGTACCTCTGACGTCGCAATTGCTCTACATGCGGAATGCCATGCCGCCGCATCAGCTCCTCCGCTCTTCGAGTGCTCCTGCATGCAAAGCTGGACTATAGATCTACTTCAGGTTTGGTCCCTCGGCTGTCTCATGCTGCCTCGGATGAGAAAGGAGTAGTGCGACGAGGCGGAAGAAGGTATTGTGAACCAGTGTTCACCAAACTTCGTGCTGCGCGCTGCGCATAAAAATATCGTGGGCATCCCCGTCGAAACATTGCAACAATAACGTGGGTCGACGCCGGAGCTCCCCTGGAGATAGTGGAGAGCTCAGGCACGAAGAACATAAGGGCACGCTTCCGATGCTAGGGCTACTATTGACCTTCTGCCCTCTTTAGCCCAAGTAGCGATCTCAGAGGAGCCTGTTTCGTCGCAACGGTGGCGAAAACGCACCGCGTCCGAAGACAAAACGTAGGGGGGGCGCTGCTAGCCTAGGTGAGGAACGTCTACAGGCGGATGTTGGAAGAAAGATTGAACAAATACGCGACAAACAATCAATCACCTTACAAGATGCACGAAACATGGCCACCATATTATGTGCTGGCTATACTTGAATATCCCTCCTTTCGAGGATCATGCCCAACTTAATGCTAGACGGATGGTATGCGAAAGCGGCGCCCGTGCACCGCCCCAAGATTGGACTGCCTTCAGGCCTCGCACCGACACATCGCACGGTGCTTAGCGGCGAAATAATATTAGAACCCGGACATGTTCTAACAACAAAACAAAACAATGTTCTTAGAACATAAACCCGATGTGGTAAAGCAAGACAGTCCCAGCAAGGAATGTTCTAAGAACACTCCTTGCACACACAGAAAGGTCCTTGGAACAGCACTTGGTGGGCCCGCAGGCGAGCCTTGAAGCTTCGCCGCTGCTTGACTCCATCCCCTCCCTTGGAGGGTCCAGACCCCCTCTCTTTTATTACGAAATTTGGAGTAATTATTTTGTCCTCCACTCCTCCTTTTGGCGAGCCGCCGCGTCCAGATAGGTGCCGTCGGGGGTGCCGAGGTCGGCTATCCAGCACTGCGCCCTGCGCCCACAGGAGTGGGAGGAGCAGGAGGAGGAGCAGGAGGAGGAGCAGGAGGAGGAGCAGCAGGCAGCAGCAGCAGCAGCAGGACCCCCTCCCTTTTATTACGAAATCTGGAGTATCCGAGTCGCTCGCGGAGGGCACACGAGCGGGCGGGAGGCAGGAGAGCCTGGCCGAGGCCGGAGAGCACACCGGGAGACTCGGAGGCCCCCCGGCGGCGGAGCGCGGAGCGCGGCTGCCGCCTCGCGCAACGGCCTCGGAGGCCCCGGGAAGCCCAGGGTGCGCCAAGAGACGCCCCAAAACCTCGATCCTCGATGGCATCATCATCATCATCATCATCAGCATCATCATCATCATCATCATCATCATCAGCATCCATCATCATCAGCATCAGCATCATCCATCATCATCATCATCATCATCATCATCATCATCATCATCATCAGCATCAGCATCATCATCATCATCATCATCATCATCATCATCATCATCATCATCATCATCATCATCATCATCATCATCATCATCATCATCATCATCATCATCATCATCATCATCATCATCATCATCATCATCATCATCATCATCATCATCATCATCATCATCATCATCATCATCATCATCATCATCATCATCATCATCATCATCATCATCATCATCATCATCATCATCATCATCATCATCATCATCATCATCATCATCATCGCGCATTGCTCCTCCTCCTCCTCCTCCTCCTTGTCCTCCTCCTCCTCCTCCTTGTCCTCCTCCTCATCTTTTTCCTCCTCCTCCTCCTCCTCCTCCTCCACCTCCTCCTCCTCCTCCTCCTCCTCCCCCAGACGACGCGCGGGCTGCGGGCGCTGGGGGGCGGTACTCCATCTTGTAGCCGAGGCCCTGCGCGGGGCTTCTCCGCGATGCTCCCCCCCCTCCCTTCCCCCTCCTCCCTCCCCGCTCCCCCATTCCCCGCTCCTTCCCTGGCCCGCCCCCTCCTCCCTCGGCGGGGCGCTGATTACCAGCCTTGAACGTATCCCTGTCCCTAAGATTGACCCGCCAAAAGGCGATGACAATCTTGAGGTTTCGCCCTCAGAAAATAAGGGAATCCTTAAGATTGCCATCGTGATTAGGAGGTGCCCAGCATAGGGATAGGGATATGTTCCAGGCTGGTGCGCTGAGGTGATGTAGCCTCCAGGCCGTCCACGAGGCTCTGGCCAAATGGGCAGGCCCCGCCCCCGCGGGACCCGCAGCCTGCCCCGGGGCCGCGGTGACAGGCCGTGCGGTGACCTCGGAACCGCAAAAGACCTCACCGCACGGTCCGTCACCGCACGGTCTTGGGACCCTGGAGGCCCCCGCCGCCCGAGACGTCCTCAGAGAACGACCCGAGTCCCGAAACCGTGCGGTGACCCCGAATCCCCACCGACTCACCGCACGGTGTGGTCATCACCCCGTCGGGGACCCCCGATCCATCCCCGCTCCTCCCCGTCGACCGGTGCAGCGTCGACCGATTCTCATTAGCCACCGGCGGCGCTCGGCCCGGAGCGCCCGCGCGGGAGCCGCCGCCGCGCGGGCACGCGGCACAAGCCTGCCACACCCCTCTGGCCAAGCGCAACAAGGCCCTGGCCCCCCGATGCGAGCGACCGGCGGGGGGCTCCCTGCTCCAGGCCAGCAGCGCACGTTGCAGCTCCACAGCCTCGTCGGTCCGAGCAGGCCCCCCCAGGCAGAGTCCCGCCGAGCAGGTGGCGGAAGCCGACCGAAGGAGGAGACGAACCCGCCGAGCATCTCTTGCTCCCCAGCGTCGGGAGGACTTGAAGATGGGGCAGGTCCGAGAAGGTGGAGCTAGAGGCAAAAGCGCCCCAGTCGGTCCCTGGCTCAAGCTCACGCTGCGTCGCTGCCCAGGCCCACCTCGGGCTACGCCCCCCTCCACTGGGGAGCCCATGAAGCACGCACGCGCCCAGCCATGCAGATGAGTCGCGCTTGCGCTCCAGACCTTGAACAGGGACCGAACGTCCTGGCATGCCGATAGGCACCCTACACAATCGCCGTAGGACACTAGAAGGTTCGAATCACAAAGACCACGCTATTAGAACGCAGTCTTTTCGGACTTAGGCAAGACAGAGTCTGTCAAACATACTCCTAAAACAGGTCGGGCGAATTACACTGGCTTCTATATAATTTGTTGGTGGGCCCATAGGCAAGCCAGGACGCTTCGCCACTGTTTGTTGACAGGACAGAGTCTGTCAAGCATACTCCTAAAACAGGTCGGGCGAACAACACTGGTTACTATGAATTGTTGGTGGGCCCATAGGCAAGCCAGGACGCTTCGCCACTGTTTGTCGACAAGACAGTGTTGTCAAACATACTCCTAAAACAGGTCGGGCGACCCACACTGGCTACTATATAATTTGTTGGTGGGCCCATAGGGAATCCAGGACGCTTCGCCACTGTTTGTTGACAAGATAGAGTCTGTCAAGCATACTCCTAAAACAGGTCGGGCGAACCACACTGGTTACTATGAATTGTTGGTGGGCCCATAGGCAAGCCAGGACGCTTCGCCACTGTTTGTCGACAAGACAGTGTTGTCAAACATACTCCTAAAACAGGTCGGGCGACCCACACTGGCTACTATACAATTTGTTGGTGGGCCCATAGGGAATCCAGGACGCTTCGCCACTGTTTATTGACAAGATAGAGTCTGTCAAACATACTCCTAAAACAGGTCGGGCGAACCACACTGGTTACTATAAATTGTTGATGGGCCCATAGGCAAGCCAGGACGCTTCGCCACTGTTTGTTGACCTGCGCACCCCCGACAATGCCGACGGGGATTTAGACGGCCGAAATTGGTATGGAAGAAGTGGGCACGGTAACCAGCAACAAATATTGTCCAACTCCAGTAGCGACTGCTGTTGGGCGGGCGGCCTGTTGTTTCAAATGCGCGGCGACGCCGACAGCAAGCCCTTTTCAACATGGACCTGTCGGTCATTGTACCGATCGGTGGGCATCAGGCAGGTCAAAACGGTTCGCCACTGCTTCCGGTGTCCGTTCCGTGGCCCTTGGCGCTGCCCGATTTGGGCCTAATGTGGACCGGATTTGGAATACATTTATTTGGACATCTGGACCGGATTCGCACCTTTCACAAGGGATACGAGAAGAGCGAGGGGGAGGGGGAATAGGAACGGCGACGAGGAGCAGGAGGAAGGGCCAAATGCGGCCGAGATGCGGCCACAACTCAGAGCTATCATTACCAGCCTGGAACATATCCCTATCCCTGTGCTCGGCATCGCCTCATCACGATGGCGATCTTAGGGATTCCCTCAGTTTCTAAGGGTGCATCCCCAAGATTGTCATCGCCTTTTGGCGTGTCAATCTCAGGGATAAGGATCAGTTCGAGGCTGGTGATATCATGAACGGACATCCAAACTGCTTATGACCAGCGCGCCACCGACAGAGCACCAGCGGGGGGGGAGCAGGGCGAAGCACGCGCTGCCCGACAACAGCCCGCTCAGGCGCGCCTGGCGCTCCGTCTCCAGCTGGTGTTCCAGGTGGGCCCGCTGCTTCGCCCTGGCAAGTGAGAATCGTTTGATTGACCGATCCATATGCACATCCTCTTCCTTCTCCTCCTCTTCGTCCTCCTCCTCCTCCTCCTCCTCCTCCTCCTCCTCCTCCTCTCCCTCCTCCTCCTCCTCCTCCTCCTCCTCCTCATCATCAT